AGTGGGTTCCTCGTCATCGAATTTGAATAGCATTTAGATGTGGAGTCAAAATAGGGATTTGTAGCTTGAGGAAATAATGTAGACACTGTCTCAAACCTTAAGCTTGTTTGTATACTTTTTTTTTGTAATGGCATTTTCACTCTAAGCTACTTATCTTGTTTGTGTATTTTTTTGAAGATCCTTATTTCCCCTTTTAACAATTTTTAATAATCTTGTCTTAAGCAAATGTTACCTAACATCATATTGAAACAATCATGTGCTGATAGTTAATTTTCCTTTGCTTTTTTAATTTAAAACTGTTTTATCAAAAGAAATCTGTAATGTATTGCTAGCTAGTCCATTACAATGTGACTAAAGTACAAATTAGTTTACAAAAATAGAATCAGTTGAGTAAATAGCTCATATTAAGACATTTATTGAAGAGGACTCATTTTCAGTACAACTGTTTTATGTTGTAAACAAGCTGGTTTAAATATTTAATTAGCTTTCAAAAAAACAATAAACTAAGTTTACTGATTATATGATTTTATAACAATGGAAGCTAAGTAACTGACCTTTTCTGAAAAACCTGTTTTTTATAGTCCAGTATTACAGTGTTTGTAAAGTTTTATAAATTTTGAATTGTACCAGAATCATAGAAGCTTGAATATTACACTAATCTTTATTTTTTAACAAAATGAGCACCAAGGGACTTAAATCACTCTTCTAATAAACATTGAAGTATAAAAATTACAGCATATGCTGGAAAACTCTACAGTAACAATTCAGTGTTCTTAATAGCTAACTTTTTTAAGTTCTATAATTGCTGTATTATAAAAAATGTTAGAGAAGTATTATGTTTTAGTTTATTTTTAAGTCATTGTTAGTCTTTCAAACCATGGCAATACAACTGATGTAGTTTTATCCATATTGTTAATTTCTGCTATGGAATTGTATGTTTTTAGTAGAATGCGTATTCGTTTATTTCAATTTACATATCAGCTTAGTAATGGCTGGAGACGGCTTGAATGGGTAATGAAGAAAAACTTTAATACAACAGCAAATGTACAACGTTTCGACGAGGTTTTGTCATCATCAGGTTCCTTTAGAATCCGTTTGTCTGTCTTGTATGCAGTGGAGAAAAAAACAACCAATTCTCCACT